GAGCGGAGGAGCGCACCTATGGCCACCGGCGGACCTTCGTGCGGTCGCCGGTTTATCTGCAGGAAATCTACTCTTGTAGGCATGCCAACGGATCTGGGCGGCGGCGCGCGGGTGTGCAGGGGCGCGGTGGCGGCCCTCACGGGGGCCTGGTGTCCCCCGTGGAACCGCAAGCCACCGCCGCCACACTACTGTGGATCCGCGGCGCGGAGAAGCGAATGGCAGCGCCGCGGATAGAGTAGAACAGCGTGCTACCAGCGGGGGATCGCGGCCCCGATACAAGATACTGCCACGTGTTACACGGTGTTCGCCACCAGAAGAAACGCTCGCCTCTCTGTGTCCCCCTCCTCCCAACGGTGGAACCCTCCCCCCTCTCCCCCTCTCACCCGTACCCTTTGGTGGCTCTTTCGGTGGTAGCCCGGATATCCAAGTGGTAGCCCCGTGTTGCCCGGTTGACCACCTCGAACAATGCGCCTCCAACCTCTTCCGGGTGTTTGAATAATGGCCGCAAGGCGACCGGGACACGGTGCGCTCTCGCGCGTTCAGCATTCCTCGGTTGGGCTGGGTTCGCTTCCCATTCGTTGGATGATAGTCTTCCTTCGCTTCGTCTTGGTTGAAGACCTTGTAGATCATTCGTTCGAGTTATTTTGAATTGAACAATACTGGATAACGTTCTCATCGAGACACTACTTTAACGTCGATTAAGTAATGATTATTTATCTGAGATGATTTTTGAGGAAATACATCAGTCTTTTAGAGTCAAAGCTTAAAAACGAATTATCTATCTTACTTCCTTTGATCAATTCATTTAATCGTGTTGTATTCGATATTCCATTTCTTCAAACTTTTAGAATCAAGATCCACTTGTTCACTTTCTATCCCACTTATAGACTTCACTCGCAGAGCTCGTTTAAATTGAATTTTACGAAACAGTCGATGTATATCGCTCCTTCGAAAAGAAAAGGATCCACGAGGAGTGTTAATATAAGTGATGTTCAACTTTCTTCCGCGTGTTGTCATTAGTTCGTCGCCTGTTTCGTTTATCTCGGCGTTTCATCCCTGGAATAACCTCGTTTCTTCTCTCGCGATCTCGGTGGCGGTTATCGGCCGACAATCGGCATACATAGCGCATACGCACACGCGTGTACTCGCTTTCCAGATGCCATTCGAGATTACGCAAATGAACGAGGACGATGCGCCTTCCACGGTGGGATAAAAGAAGGAGAAAAAGAAAAATGGCGGAGCAAAGGAATTGAAATGTTCGCGGGAAGAGACACCTAGCGGCGACAACCAGCCCTTTCTTTATCGGCGAAGCAGCGAGTTCATCGATAAATGAGAGGTTTCAGCAATAATCTACCAATTAAATGGTTTGTGCTGTCAACGCTTAAAATTAAGACCAACACCAGATGCTGTCATCTTGCCACGATTATTACTCTGCTTTCCTCTCGAACGCGAACAGTCGAGAGAAATTTCAATATTTACGTTAGAGGATGAAGTTTTATAATCTTTTAGAAGATTTTAGAAAGAAATAGCAAATTTTTATCTTCCTTCATTACATTCTTCATCTTAATCGCGAAACTAGTCATAAATAAATATCGCTGATCATAAAATCTCACTCAATAACAAAATTATAAAATTTCACTAACTAATTTATCTCTGGCACCAAAATCAATCGTTCCTTCAAAATGCCATAAAAATTAACATATTGCAGAAAGAAATTCAGAATCAGAGAAACACAAAAAGAAGAAAAGAAGAGAAACTTTTATCCAATTTATCATAGCTTTTCTAAACTCGAGTCAACGTATCAAAATCTATTTCCCAATATATATTATTCTTTCCTATTATCGCATATTCCGTACAATGGCCGTCATCCTGTTGTGCCCAGAGGGGTTATTCATCCATTTCCATCGTATTAGAAATTACGCGTTTAATATCTTTGCTTGGTCTCCCATAAAAGTCAAGAAGAGCGTTCACAAGAAACGAAACGCAAAAGTGGGAGGGGAAGTTACATCGATCACGTCCTTTTCAGAGAGTGACATTTAATACCGTGGGTGGTGGGCGCCACGCCAAGAGAAATGTCATGGGGCATGTAACGCCGGCAGCGAGAAAAATCCAGCCAGACTATGACATAAATTTGTCAGTCGAGCGATTCCAACCGGGCAGAATGATACATTCAGATCGTTTATCATTTGGTATCGTTTTACGTCTAATTTCATTTTCCTTGTTAAGCAATATAGCCACATCCGATTAAGCATGCGACATTGTTTGATGCATTGTAAACGATAAATTAAGATACTTTATTATACAAATTAGTCGTTTGGAAATTATGCGATGACTCGTTCATTTTACACGTGTACTTTTTTTTTCTTTCTTTTTTCTTTCTTTTTTTTTTTTTTTTAATTTATTACCGATTAACTTAACTTTTCACTTCTCCTTCAATTTATTGTATTCCCTAAGTGTCACGTGAAATGTATGAAGAATAGGTTATGCACGATTCAATTATAATTTATGATAATTAATCGTATTAAAGATTGAAATTTAATTAATTATGACGTTATATTTTTCAAGGATGATTTTATTACGAGCGGAAGAAAATACGAATAAAAGAAATTTTTTCACTTTTAAATTATATCCTCACATTGACATTCACGTTCCCCAAACGGCTGCAACAACTTACAAATAAAAAATTATCCTTATCCATCAACAACTTTACAACCAACCTCCATAATATCACATTCCTATTTATCTCCCCTAATTAGATTTAATAATTTAATAGCAGATGTCGAGAGCGTGCACTTTTACAACGTCGTAATTCACACTGACAGCCAGTCAAATGAAAAGCTCGTTTGATCGACGCACGCCGAACGAAGTTTTAATTGCGATCAAAGATGAATAGGGGAAGACGTGTTTACCCAACGAGATCTAGCGGCAAGGGCATCAACTACAACCGATTCGCGGTGTTCCCGTTCAATGATTTTTCATTGGAGGAAAATGTGAATTGCAAACGATCTCATTACTCGTCGCCAAGTATCGATGTTGGCATACGCGCGATAGCATAAACGACTTTTACGATCGTGAAATTTATATTGGCGACCCGAATGGAATTTTACGAGTTCTCGCCGTGTGTGTCTTACAAATTGCTTTCCCCTCTGGCTAATAACCTCGATCGCTCGTTCACGCGATTCTTATTTCTATACCGCTCTTTTGCTGTTAATCGGCGAAAAGAATTCTGGTTACTCAGGTAATTGTATCGAAAACTTATTCCGTTCACGTGAAGTTCCGTTCCGTTCACGAGTGTGAGAAATATCGATACAAACAAGTTTAATGGGATAAGAAAAATTACGTTTGTAATTCCTTGCCTTCGAGAACATTTTCTTTTCTTTTTCTTTTTCTTTGTCTTCGAGGACAAATTTATTAAAGCTTTCCACATAAATACGCGTTGTTCAATGATTGTGTAATCGTCGTTGCAATACATACACGGACGCCATCTATCGTCGAAAAAAAATTCTAACCTTTACTTGAGTCATATCGATAGTTAAATTCGATTTCACAAGTATCCAATTTTTATTGTAATAGTCAGTTAACAGCAAGTTTATCGATATTTTTTTTTTTTTTATTTCATCATTGTCATTCTCATTGTGACGTCAAGTATATCGATTTTATTGTTTTACGCAAATGTAGAAGATGCTGCGAAAACGATACAATTGCACAGTCGCACACGAGAATGATGTAACAGCCGCTCCCACATACGTCTATACATCACGCGAGTCCCGCGAGAAATGGATATACATATAAAACCGCCTTTCCAATACGCCGTTTGCAAACCACCAGGCTACCGAAGTGAGATATTAACTGTCCAATTGGTTCACGCTAGATCGCGCTTTGCCGCATTTCAATGAACGCAATTTGATAGTCGACGAATGGCGTGCCAGGATTTATTTAACGTGGTAATTGAAAATTGAGAATTTCACGGAGATTTGAAATATGGAAAAATTATTAAGTTTTCTTTTTAAATTTGAAATTATTTTTTTTTATGCATTTATGTCACAAAGCATCAATTATCTTTTTGATATTTTCTGAAACGAAAATAAAATTATTTCAACATCTACAAATGGTTGTTCTAATTTTATTTAAAATATATGAAAATCTATATAATTGATGAATTATATAAAATATTGCTGACTAAAAAACAATGTAATTTTAAGTTTCCTTGTAATCTTAATTTCAATCTTATTTTTTTCTTTTTTTTGTTTTTGATAATAGATCGATAAATTCAAAGGAATCGTTTACAAGGTCTCTTAAAGAAATACTTTAAAAAGAAACGAAGAGAATCGCGAGGACTTTTCGTTCGCCATACTTACACGATAGACTTTACCGGATTAAGAGAGAAGTATATGGCAAAAGGTGTCTGTGGGGCAAGGTGACAACGACGCGTCACTCGAGAAGCTACATCAGCCAACTGGTACACAGCACCGCTAATGAGACAGCTGCCCTTTTCGCGAGTGAATCGCCCATTTCGCGTGTAATAAGCTTACGCTTTGTCCTTAGTCTGAGTCACATCATAAGACACACGTGTTACTATACCGCAACGTTATTTGTAAATTATCCTCTCGACAAGTATAGTTGCACTTCGGTATAATACAATTTTTTGGCGAATTCTTTTTTTCTTTTTGGGAAATTTTAAAATAAATTGCATATCCGAATCTCGTCTCTTCTACGATAAGTGAATAAAATTAAAACAATTTCTTATTAAAAAGTATTGCAAGGTTACTACTCCACTAATAGATTTATAGGTTAGGTTTCCTGTGTTTGTCAAAAATTATTGCCAAGCCAATTCGAATGATAGATTTTTAAATAAAAATTAACATATAAATAGTTTTTTAAGAATTTAAAGAGTAGAAAGAAAGAGAAAGAATATTTTGTAATCGAAAAATAATGAAATTTGACTGTTTGAAATCGAAGACTTCGATAATGTTTCAACCAACCATATTGTAACAAAAAGTATAACAAAAATTCTTCATCCTAATATTTTACATTATTTGCATGAAACGCGAAAAGAATTTTCTTTCCAAACTGTTCCTGAAAGGTATCATATACCACTTTTACGTTCAACTCGCAGATCTATGGCCACATAACTTTCTTAGGTCGGAACCCGTACTTTCAGCCAAAGTGGCCATTCGAGAGGGAGCTGTCTCGTTTTATGATGCATTCCTAACCTGGCGCGGAACGTAGAAGAAGATTGTTCTTTCTCGTTGTTTAACTGCGAAATCGATGCTCCTACCTCTGTTCCGCGCCATTCCCATAGATCTAATCCCTTGCCACAAGGCAAGGTTACGACGAGGAAAACTTTTCCTCCGCGTGTTATATGTATGTACACACGGAGAAAGGGAGAAATATTTTTCCTCTGCGTAATTCAGCAGGCAACTCGGAAAAACTGCGGCCCGAGTAATTGGCCAGTTGAACAGCGTTATTGTTGGCGAGCGTATTGCGCGCACTTTGCGTGCGTCCGCGATTTCAAGGAATTATAGTTGCAGCCCCGGCTAATTTATCTCTCGCTTCAAGCGTGCATTACCTGTTTCTGCTCCTTCTTCTTCTACCGAACAGATCGACATCGCGTCGATTCGGATGATAGTAATTAACAGTAAGAGCGTTTTATTATTATCATTGAAGATGTCGTGCTTGACATCAGAATCGACGATAAATCGAAGAATAGTTATTGCCGCGTAATATTCAATGAAGATAATGAGCTAATATTAGTTAATAGTCGAATTTCTTTAACGATATATACTTCTTCCGTTCAATCTGTTATTCAATTTTCATTCCATTTAGGAATTTATTGTTCATAAATTCATATTTCAAAGAAATACGATGGAAGCGAAATAAAATCAAATTATCACGATTTATTAATCTTTTAATTTCCTATACTTAAGTAAAGGAAACAAGTTTTTATCTGGCACGCCATTCATCTTCTATTTAACTAAAAAAAAGAAAAAGAAAAATATTATCTCGCGTAGTATAGATGGCGCTCTACAATATTTCGTATACTTCTCATGTCACATAAATACGCATTGCCCGCGTCCGTCGAGTCGTCAGACAAAATGTATTAATCTTACAAATCGTAATAATGATCCATTGCTCATCCGCCATATTGGGCCTTACACTTTTAACGGCGACTTCGCGTTTATCCATGCGCACTCCATCATTTCGTATCTTCAAACACGATCGTATTTCATCGTTCAATGCCACCATATAATATAATAAAATCGCAACGACAGCCCTCACCTGCACCGGGCCCAATCCGCGTATCCCACGAACAAATTTCACCCAACCGATCCGATAAAGCCGATATCCTATCCCTGCATATACCTTCGTCGAACAAGCACAATCCATGTGTGTATCCATTAAAAGGATCCATCGTGAAAGAATCGCAATGTACAAATGTTCCACGGACGAAACAGGGCCCGAGGGGTGGCGAGGCTCGACCGCAGGAAACCGCGCGTCGATGAACGCGTCTTCAGAGAGCGGCGGAATAGGAAAAGCCGACCTGCGAGAACGAGAAACGGTCCGTAGGAACCGGACGAAAGGGAGAGCGAGAAAAGGAAGGAACGAACGAGGTAGAAGGATCGAGCAGGGGTCGAGGGTTCACCGATCGTTCGTGTTATGATAGGCCGCGGGCCCAATAAAAGCACACGCTGCTAAAGAAAGAAAGGAAGAAAGAAAGAAAGAAAAAAAGAAAGAAAGAAAGAAACTGTATAAACAGAGAAGAAGTACAGGACAAAGTAGGAGAAAGAGGGAGAAAACTAAACGGAGTCTACACGCGGAATTAGAAGAGGAGAAATGGAGATGGGAAGATGAAAGAAGGGGAGAGAAATGAATGATGGATGTGCACAGGGACGAAAAGGAGGAAGTGCAGGGTAGAGTAAAGAGAGAGAGAGAGAGAGTAACAATACGAACAGAGAGAGAAAGAGGGAGGTGCGCGTGTCGAAGCAGATGGAGAAAGATGGCGAAAGTGAGATAAATAGAGAGAGAAGGAGAGAAAGACAGGGGAGGGTAAAAAAAAGAAAAAAAAAGTCAATCGGACCCCTCCATTACCATACGTTATTGGCCGGCTTCGCGACGGTCAGTGTTTGCCATAACTCCAGATAAATAAACCCCAGGGGCAGATAAATCTGCGTGCACGCCGCCGCGTGTATAATGCAAATGCAATCATGTCCGCGATCCCACCGGTCCCACGGACCTTAAAACTTGGCCCCTTAAGAGCCCTTGCCTATAAAGGGCACGCAACCGAACCGCGGGGCGGATTTACAACTTGGGCTCGGAGCGACACGGTGTTATCCTGTGCAACCGAAAGAACAAAGAGTGTGAGAAAGAGAAAAAGAGAGAAAGAGAGAAAGAGAGAGAGAGAGAGAGAGAGAGAGAGAGAGGGAAAGGAAGGAGGGAGATGATCTGGCTTTGAAAGTAATTAAGATAAAGGGGCAAAAGCGTATTGCGTGAGCGGATTTTTCGGGATAATTTTGAAAGATTGCGTTTGGAATTGCGCACAGATTCGCAGTCGGGGAACTCGTTCCAGCAAATATTTCATCCTAATGACTATAATTTGTATCGAACGAGTTCGAAAGAATATTCGATTGGAGCAACGCTTATCGTGGAATCATATTAACCGAGGATACCAAGTTACACGAAACACGGAATTGAGAGAGGAACGGTATACACCGGGGCCGGTGTATCTGCCGATTGTATCGTTCGATGAAACGATTTATGGGTAATTATCGGTCGGACAGATTTTATTGGGACCACTGGTTTTTCGATGATGCAACGCTCGTAATGTCTCGATTTCTTCAATCCTTCGATCTGTATCAGGGCAAAAAACGCTTTTGTTCGTCAATTATACGGCTCCCTTTCTCCTTCGTTGGACACGAAACTGTTGGGTATTAAAATTGAAACGATGCGTGTGGAAACCCGTGAGAATGAACGAAAGTAAGAGTTGTCAGCGTGAACGTGACATTTATCTCGATTATGTGTGTGTAAGAGAGAGAAAAATAGAAAAAGAGAGAAAGAGAGAGAGAAAGAAAAGAATGCTTCGATTCTATTTCGTTTGCGAGAAGATCGTATCTATCGATATGCCCAATGATTATCTCGCAACAATTGCTTTGATTATCTTGCTACGAGGGAATAAAGATGTTAAGCCGATGGAGATTTCGTGATTGAGTGTTGATAAAAAAATTGTACTACATTATTTTGAAATTATCGCATGATGTTTGAAATGCGATTGAAATAAAATTAAATGTAATTGAAACGGGACCTTTATTAGAATCGGTGGCGACTCCAAGCGATAGAATAGATACTAAACTGCAAGTCTTGTTTGTAATTTGAGGTTATGTTTCGAAATAAATCATATATTCTTGATAGATAAATACGTAATATCTATAAGATTACTTGAGAATTTATTTTCTCTATTTATATTATTTTCTCTTTTTTTCTACCTCATATCGTTAAAAGAAAATTCTCTTTACCGTTATACACCATATGTACATTAGTACATTATAAATTAATGAAATAGAAATTTCCAACTGTTCGCAATGTAAACAAATTATCAATCCACATTTCGCTTACAAGGGAAAAAAGAGGGAATATATTTCATTTTCTCGATCGAAATATGAAAGTAACTATCTTAATAATTTGATGGACTCTAAAAATATTTATCCTCCGTTTAATTTAATTTAATCTTCCACAACA